CCCCAATCATTTCAACTTCTCACACCATGAATCTGGTCAGACCAGTTGTTTGACTGGAACCCTCCAGGCTGTGAGGCCGAACACTGTGAAGTCATCAGGAGACGATGTGAAAAGTAGTGTTAGTCACAATTCACCAGCTGAAGTAGAAAAAAGAACGGACATGTTTCTGTGGATCTAAACCACACACACACACACACACACACACACACACACACACACACCGCTGCCCTGGAAACGCAGCGTCTTCAGGCTGTAATGGGGACGAGGCTCCCAGCGTCCAGCTTAATTTACCAGCTCCATTAGCCCAGTTTCCTCCGCTGTGACCGAGACACCGGGGAGGAGCGACTTTCAGTCAGCTGCCTTCTTCTGCCTGCGTGTGTGTGTGTGTTAAATCTTGTTGATGCGTTGTCTCTGTCGTGTAAATTAAAAGACGTTTCAGACCACGATGGACACAACAGATTAACGACAAAGACTGAACGTGGACATTTACAAGCTCAGCAGTCAAACCGTTGAAGCCTTCGCTCGTGATAACTGACAGCTTCTTTTAATTCTGTGTAGATAGATGATCTTTTACTGGTTCTCAAGGGGAGTTTGACTCAGTTACAGAATGAATATAGGTCAAATAAAACAGAACTGGATGAGATCAACCAGATAAAGAGCGACACTGATAGTAAACTTTATTTTTAATTGTTGAGATGAATACGATCAGAGAATAAAATGATTATCATTATTAAAACAACAATAACTAAAGTGAACTAGAAATAATTCCGTGTCAAACATGAACTTAAAGATCTGACAGGATCAACCTCAGAATGAAATAAGTGTTGGATCATGTGACGGTGGACGGCTGCTCTCTGCAGTTGCAGCTCGGGTCCAGCAGGTGTCGACAGATCCTCGCTGCTCAGCTTCTTACTGTTTGACGCGGTTCGTTGTTTCTCTTTGATTCAAAGAGAATTTTTCCAAAAATTGCACCGGAACCGAACCGGAAGCTCGGTCGGTGCGTGAGTGTTGTTTCATGACGTCAGCGGAGAAGCTCTCACTAGTCGTTCATTGAGTCTCTCTCTCACCCCATGACAAGGACAGATGGGGGAGGGGAGCACCTGAATCCGGTTTGACTCCTGTGAGTCGGGACTTCACTCACGGTTCAGACTCCGCTCACAGGCTCCGCCCCCAGAAACACTCGTCACGTCGTCACGTCACAGCTTCGTGACGTAAAACTCTGCTTCTTCTGCGTCTTCATCGTTTTTCAAGCAGAAACTCCCACTTCTGTGTGATTACCCACAATCCTTTGCTGCTCAGATTCAAATCCATTGCTTTTGATTGGCTGGATCTTTTTTTCCGGAGCCTCTTTGCTGATGAGTGACAGTGACTCTTCTGTTTGTGTGTGTTGACTTCCTGTTTATGTTTGTGTGATTGTTTGTCAGGTGGTTTTGTTGGGGATGGACATTCTGTCGTCTCTCGTCACTCGACTGCAGGAGAGATTCAGGACGCAGGTCGGAACTGGTGAGCCGCTCCACTCCTCTCTCTCCGTAGTGAATATCAAAACACACATCTGTTACACTTTTAATCATGTATTTATAATAT